CGTATCAACTTGGCAAGGTTATTTTATTGCTTTTTGCACCAAAGTAAAGTAGATTGATATAATTACCTCCCTTATATTCTTATTTAATTCATTTTTTAAAATCTCGGTTGATGATAGGAGATCTAAAAATTAGAACAGATTGAATCTCACTATTCTTTTAGCTTGAAGCTGCTTGATCTTTGATTAAACAGGTTTGTTTCCTGAAAGATTTCCAAATACCTTGTACTCCCCACTCTTAGGATTTTCCACACACAAAAAATTGATTTCTCCAGAATGTTTCTATTTTTAAATGAATGCTACACAATACGCAGGCACACACATATGTAAATACACACACATGTGGACCTGCAGGTGCACGCCCACATGGACTTCTTTCCTCAATGTCCAAAGTCGTCATTCCTATTGAACCAGCCACTTGAAGGTTTAACCATTGAAAAATTAAGCACAAAACAGTTGCATTTAAGTGTTTATCTTACCTAATTAAAAACTGGAAAACTAAGAAACACAAAATAATTGTCTGGAAAAGGGTCTTCCCACAAAGCTCTAAAATATTTTTGAAATGAGGCTTTTGATTAATTATTAATTTTTTTATTTAAAGAATTTTCCCATTCCATTCTTATTTCATAATAACCAATACTGCTAAACATATAAACCACTATGATGACACTCAAGTAGGCATATTCCTTTGGCCTCTGTAGCCTAAACCTTTTGAATATATTTAGAGAATGATCTCATATTTAAATATTGTGTTTGTTAAGCAGAAAGTTTTCTGATACAGTTATTTTTCATCATCATTTTAATGTGATATAATTATGTAAATCTTGACTGCATAGTAGATCACCATAAAATTATTAACAGGCTATAATCAAAGCCCCTTACAACATCCACTAATACAAATTATGGTATTGTCCCTTGCAGTCTATCCCTTCAGACCACATGTGAACTAAAGTTTCCCTGTATGATTCATCTGCTTTCAACTAGGTCTGAAATGCTACAATAAAGGAATATTTCAGTAGCAATTTTCATTGTGACTCCCCATGGTGAAAATCAAATCCAACTCTCCACTAAACAAGTTCACTAAACAAGAACTCTTTACCCCTTCACTCTCTCCTTTACAGATCCTGAACCAAACCTACTTAACTGTGAAGTTGTCAGAATGTATGTTAAAGTGCTGTTCCAATAGGACATCTGTGAAAAGTTACGATAGGTTGTATCAATTAAAAACTCATGACCACAGGTCACAATATTTTACTTACAGGTAGAGTTAAAGCTGATCTTTCCTGTTAAGTCTATTAACATTAAAAGACTTTCCTTTTAATGATGCAAGTGCCTATCTCTACACCAAGCAAATTTACTGCTAGCTTATATGTTAAGAAAATCTCAGAATAAGGGTGAAACTTACATCATTAGTAAAAACAAATCTTGTAAAACACAGTCTTGTAAATGAGCTGTAGCTTTAAAAACATACCATTGCCTATTCCAAAAAAGGACCTTCCCGAGATCAGAGGCCTATTAAAAACCAGAAATGTTAGACATCTGTTGCTGTGTTGCATGAAGGCAAAGACAGAGATATATTAGTACCATATGTGAAGGAATATGATTCCAAAATCCAGCTTCGCTGGTATTTCCCAAAATAAGTTGCCAGGTTTTTAGAATAAATAAAATCAAAGATAAGTGACTTAAAAAAAGAAACCTCATCTTAAAAATGAAGCAATCCTTTATCAAAAAACATATATCTTGATATATATATAACATGTTAGAGCAATCGTTTTCAAGTGGCTCCTTGAAGGAGATCACAATGGTAGGTGTAGTACAACCTATATTCAAAGAGAAACATGACAGAAAATTCTTTCAGGAAAAAGTAAGTCCTAGATCTAATGTTTGAGGGTGAGGGGAGTTGAGAACCAAAGCTGAAATTGTATCTCATTTTGTTTGTTATGATACTAGCAGGGTCTGATATTTTTAAAGTTCAAGGGTCATCACCATTTGCCCTGTTATGGGTCAATAGATGGAGTACCATTTACAAGCTATAGGGTTGACTGTGACTGAGACTCTGGTGGTGGGGTAGGGGGTGGGTGAAGACCAAAGGAAAGCCCACAGGTCTGAGGACTAGGGTCCGTTCTTTTGACAGAATAACTACATTATCAATTCTTTCAGGACAGAGCAGGAAAAATAGCCTTCCCAATTCACGAATGAAGGTGGATTGGTGGGGGTGGGAGTCACATTTAGTAGTCAGAATTGGATTTTAAGGAAAAAAACCAACAACAGTTGAATTAGTTTGGCAGTGCTCAAAATGAGGAAGTAGCTAAGGCACTATCTAATTTAGGAGAGCTCACTAACCTTGTAAAGCATTGATTAATCTAACTAATCTTGTGTAATCACATTGTTTCTGAAGTAATAACTAAGCCTATCTTTAAGAGAAGAGAGGGTGGCTTCCTTAATCAGTTTATAGCTATAATTTCCAAGCAAGAGAATAGTCTTAAGGGGCAAACATCTCAGCAACTAGATACAGTAACTAGATCTAGAGTCAGTAGAAGCAAGAAGTCTATACTCATGAAATTAAAGCCAATATATTACCGAAGGACCCTCTTCTGAAGATGAGAAACAAAAGGAAGAACCTCTATGTTCCTGGGTGGTGTACATAAAGTCTCTCAGAAGAGAAAGTGAAGGTCTCTTGAGGAAGTTTATGTCCTCAGGACTTTATAACTATCCCAAGTATTCCTCGTACTGTCATTGGGAAACTTGTAAGAGAAACTACTTGTGAAGAATTTACAAAAGAGTTACAGATACAGTGTTTAATGCTGATTCCCCATGTTTATGAGATTGCCATCTTCTAATGCCTAAGTTTCCATTCATTCACATAGGAAAAGAAAAATAAACTTTAATTAGAGTTCAGTGTAGCCATATGTATCTGGAAGGTAACAACGATAAGAGAGAGAAGAGATGGACCTACTCTCTTTGATTAATTTTATGTGGGTTTTCTTGGCATGTTGCATGGGGTACGAGTCAGCTTTCTCGGTTACACTGAGGTAACAAAATCTTCAAATCTTAGAAGCTTACAACAACAACAGCAACAGTTTAACAATTGCTTAAGTTGAATAATGGCTGGAAAGACAGCTGACTATTTCAGCTGAACTGTTCTGCTTAGAGGTTGATTTTCTTTCCCGGTCCTGCTGAAGGAGCACCTTCTCTCTGCAAAATGCCTTCTTTTGCTAGAGGACTACCAGAACCATGCATTGGCTGCTGACACGTCATTGTCCAGGTAAGTCATATGGCCAATCCTGACATCTGGTGAGAAATACGCTACCCAACTCCCTGTCCCCCGCAATAGGCACTATGGATCACTTGGAAATGGACAAGATGGATACTATTTTCACAGGAAGTATAGAGAAGGTTTGGGGATTATAATACAATCTACCACAAATGGAAACTTTGAATGGGATCCAGAAAGGATAATCTTGACTTTCTTATCAATTATTCAAAGAAATTTCTAAGACAGATGACTCCTACATACACTAAAGATAAATAGAACTGTTTATTGGACATAATCTATTAAATATTTTAATTGGGGGTATATATGGATTGGGTAAAAAAACAAAAAGATATCATGAACAACTTTTGTTTTTCATGTTTTAAAAGAAAGAAAACACGTTAAGGAATCAACAAATAAATTGTTCCTGCTTTTGAAAATGTGTCATTCAAATGGTGGCTCTGAAACTGGAGATGTACAGAAGAAACATCAGATAAGTTTCAGTCACCAAGCCAGGCTACTGACTTAACCTAGTCATACTGCCTAGCCATACAAAGTCTACCTAGTAGGTTAGGATAATATTAAGATATTAAAATATATAATAAAAATCTAACTACTTAGAATCTGAGTTGCTACATCAAATAAACCATTACATTTTACTCCAAATTTCAGGTAAAAAATAAACAAAAAAATAGTAAAACAAATATGTTGAAATGGCTGGCATATTTTCTTAGTTTACTATAGATTCACCTAAATGTCTTCTACCTACACTGAACTAGATGGTGACCTAGAGGTGCTAAAAAAAATTCCCCAAAGATGAAAATAAATCACATGTTCAATCTATATTATTTTTGCAAAGGAAATTAAGTATGACTGTTTTAGAAAATTTGAAACCAAATGTTTAAATTAAGAATTGTTTTTAATAGTTAATCAGAAAATTCAGTAAACTACTTCATTCTCTGATTTCTAGTCAATTTGATTGTCTGTTTATAAAATATGAAGAAGTTAGCTTATATTCAAACAAGTATGAAAGGGATTTTATTTATTTATTTATATCAGTCATTTGGCCATTCCTTATTTACAAAGCTCTTTAAGAGTTTCCTAACCTGTTAGCCTCAGTTTCCTCTTGTAAATAAAGGATTATAATGTACTTATGAACATTAAATAAAATAGTTATACAAAGATTTAGAATAGTACCTAGCACCAAGCAAATGCTTAATAAAGGCAGTTATTGTTTCATAATTTATTTCTCCTTTCACCAAATATTACAAACGGGTCCTGCAGTCAACCAGGTCACTGGTTGGGAGAGGAGTGTGCATAGTGGAATAAACAGAGAACTTGAGTCAAGTATAAGAGAACTTTTGATTCTCTATGAAATTATATTTTCTAAAGCCTCCTTCTTAATGGCATACCATGTCTTAATTTGGGCAACTGATCTTTTCTCAATTTTAGCTAAAATGTAAAAATAAAATAAAAATTATTAGAAAAACATGCTAAATAGTTCTAAGTAAAAACTAAATCTATTGTATAAATACCACTTTAAAATAATCCCTTAGCCCCCTTCTGAGTAGATAACTGTTTCTAAACTGTACTACTTCAAGAGATGTTTATTTTCATTATGAGAGATAAAGTAAACACAAGCATTGAAATGCAAATACATTTAACCAAAATTTTAAGAAGCATATTTTTATGTCTGAAGTGATTCTTCTCTGATCTATATTTTAATTGATGGCTTAAGTTAAGTACCTACCTGCTTTTGTTGGAGGTATAGCCAGAGAAATTCAGAATGGATAAGGAATCAGTCTTTCCTTTAGAAGGCTAGCAATCTAGTCAAAGGGCTAACTTTGGTATATAATTTGCTAACTAGAGTAGAACATTAAGCCACTTGCAGTTCTCTGAACCTCTCATGTACTTTTACAGCCAGTGATGTCCTGCTTCACTGGCTGTCTGAAAATAAACAAAACAGCCCTGATTTATAGTATTTGCCAGTGTCTACGGTATAAATTCTCCCAGCATGGTTGATTTCAAGTTGTCAACAGTCTTAACAACTGGATCTTAAAATTCTTGAGCATTTCTTGAATGACCCTTAAGTAAAGCAGCACAAGCCATTTCAGCAGCCCAGTGTTCCACCAACATGGCCTTGGCATTTAACCTGTTGTGAAATGACTTTTTTCTTCTGACCTGCTAATTTCTACACAAATTTTAAGCTCCAACTCATGCCATTTGCTTCAGGAAGTCTTTCTCAAATCACTTAGTCTAAGAATTTGCTTTTCATTCTTTCTTATTTCTCCCCCAGGAATTTGGACTTACCACAGTATTTGTCACACCATGTGATGAGCACCTGTGTGCTTATTTGCTTCTATCAGGGAGTTATTAAACAACTTAAGTCAGAATCTGTGACTTCTCTCTATTTCCTTATTGTTTGACACAAGTCCTTGTTGTGAAGACAAAAATCAACACATGCATGAAAACAAATACCATAGCAGAAATACTACATGCCCTGAGAGTTCAAATGAGAGGAGAGGAAAATATTGATTAAGAAACCTGTTAGATGATTTGTAATGGCATGTGAAGATAAGCTTGAAAATGGGTGGATTTTCAACCAGGAGAAACTGGAAGATGGGGAGAATATTCCATGTGGAGAAAACAGTATAAACACAAAGTTCAGGAACAAAACTGGAGAGCATGTTCAATGGAAAAATGGATCATGCAATAAGGAAGGAGTGTCAGTTACAGGCTGAAAAAAATAGTGGGAAGTTAGTCTGGTTGAGGATGTAGAGCTGCGGATTCTGAAGGCCTGCATAAAGAAGCTGTGTTTAATTTGGCAAAAAATGGAGAATTATTGAAGGTGTAGAAAAACTCAAATTTTCCCTCTGAAGGTTTTAGTCTAAGTCTGTTGAAATGAATAGAAAATAGACAAATTAGCAGGGAAAAAAAAAACCATGCAATTTAATTAAAGTGTATTAGCATGGGAGAATTACAGAAGACTGATTACCCAATAACCCAATAAGGTTTAGATGCTTATATACCCTTCTTCATAGGGGAGCAGGGAGATGGAAACTGTAAGCAATTATTTTGAGGAGTAATATATGATTATTAGAGAAAATGAATGGACATGAAAGAAAACAACATGTAAATGATTCTCTTTGGAGTTTAAATGAGTCCAAGAAGCAGACATTGTCCTGTTAAAAAGTCTCTTTGTGTGCATTCTTCAGTCTTCTTTTCTTCTCTAGATAATGAAATTTCAAGGAGTGAATAAAAGGCAATTGTGTTCTTTTTGGCATTTCCAGTCTTAAGATAGGTAAGGGAATATCAGAGTACAATCTCTTCCAGTTTCTTCTGAACTTCAAGGGCCTTTAAAACAATCAGAAGAAGAATAATGGGTCAGCACTGGCAGACATATGCTCAGGCCAAACAAGCAGCCTTGTGCCCATATACGGGGCCTGGGAAATGCCCCATGGACCATCCCCAGCAGACTCACCTCCAGGCCAGCCAAGAAACTTCCACCTGCATCCCAGGCCTTAGAAGCAGCCCCATAGGCCACCCATTAGACATGCCACCAGGCCAGAGGAGCAGCATTGCATCTGCATCCTGGACCTGAGAAAAAGCCTCATAGGCCACCTCTGGCAAACATGCCCCCAGACTGGCTGAGCAGCCAGTACACATTCCCCGGGCCCGAGAAACAACCCTGTGGGCCACTCCTGGCAGGCATGTCCAGGGTATCCAAGCAACTATGTGTGCATGTACTTGGCCAGAGTAACAATCCCATGGCCCCAACCCCAGCAAGATATACTCCAAGTTAGCCAACCCACTGTGTGCATGAATGCACTCCTGACTTGAGAAACAGTCCAGGAAAGCTATGCTACCAGCACTACAAATTCTCAGCTTGGCCACTGAGCCACTAGCAAATGTTACTATTGTGAATTACAGCTGAAAAAACTATACTACTATATCCAAGCAGAACAAAGGCTAACACATCCCAACATATTTATATTTCAAGACCCATTCATGTGAATAAGGCTTTCCCTATGAAACCTATTCTATAAAATTGAAAGAGGTAGCCTTTCCACCAGTTGCATAGAAATTAAAGTAGAGACATATTAAGCATTCAAAAGGAAGGAAACATGATACCTTCAAAGGAAAACAATAATTTTCTCATAACAGACCCCAGTCACAATATATATGACATGCCAGAAAAAGGATCCAAAAAAAGTTTCTTCAGGAAACTCAGTGAGATACAAGAGAATCCAGATAGACAATCCAATGAAATCAGGAAAATGATTCATGAGATGAGTGAGAAATTTAACAAAGAGATGGATATTATAAAAAAGAACCAAACAGAAATCGTAGGCCTGAAGAATTCAATGAATCAAGTAAAAAATACAATTGAGGGCTTTCACAACAGACTAGACCAAGCAGAAGAAAGAAGTTCAGAACTTGAAGATAAGTCTTTTGAAATAACTCAAGCAGACAATAAATAAATAAATAAATAAATAAATAAAAATAAAGAATAAGAATGAGGAAAACCTTCAGGATTTATGGGACACCATTAAAAGAATGAATATTCATATTATGGGTGTCTAGAAGAAGAGAAAAGGTGTACAAAACATATTTAATGAAATAACAGCTGAAAACTTCACAAATTTTGAGAGAGAGATGAACAATCATGTCCAGGAATTTAAAAGAACTCCAAGTAGATTCAACCCAAACAAGTCCTCTCAAGGTAAACTATGGTCAAATTGTCAAACATAAATGACAAAGAATTCTAAAAGCAGCAAGAGAAAACATCAAATAATATATAAGGGAATCCCCATTAGACTAATAGAGGATTTATCAGCAGAAACCTCATAGACAAGAAGTAAATGTTTTAACATATTTAAAGTACTGAAAGAAAAACTACTGGCAGCCAAGGATATTATACCCAGCAAATGAAAGAGAAATACAATCTTTCACCAGCAAAAACTAAGGAAATTTGTCACTGCTAGACCACCTTACAAGAAATGCTCAAGGGATTCTTATGTCTAAAAGTGAAAAGATTATCACCACCAACTTTAAAACATTCAAAACTATAAAACTCACCAGTAGATCTGATATAAAAGGAGAAAGAGAAAGGAATAAAATCTTATCACTAGAGAAAACCACCCAACAATAAAATTAAACAATAAGAGAGAAAGTAAGGAATAAAGGATATACAAAACAAACAAAAATTGTCAATAAAATGACAGGAGTAAATTCTCACCTACCAATAATAACCTTTAATGTAAACAGATTAAATTCCCCATTTAAAGATACAGATTGGCTGAATGGATTAAAAAAAATACCCAACTATATGCTGTCTACAAGAACGCACTTCACGTAAAGATACACATATACTGAAAGTGAAGGGATGAAAAAATATATTTTTTTATCCAAAAGTGAACAGTATCAGCTAGAAACCGAAAGTGAACAGTATCAGCTAGAAAGATATCAGACAAAACAGACTTCAAGTTAAAAATATGTAAAAAGAGACAAAGACAGTCTTATATAATAATACCAATTTAGCAAGATAACATCACAAATGTAAATATATATGCACCCAGCACAACAGCATCCAATTATATAAGGCAAATATTGTTTGGGAGAGATAGACTTCAATACAGTAATACTTGGAGACTTCAACACACCATTCTCAGCATTGGGCGGATCATCTAGATTGACAATCGATCAAGAGATATCAGATTTAAACTGCACTATAAACCAAATAGACCTGACATACGTTTACAGAACATATTACGCAACGGTCGCAGAATAAACGGTCTTCTCATCAGCAAATGGAACATTCTTTAGTATTAACCATATGTTAGGACACAAAACAAATCTCACAAATTTTTTTTACAATTTGAAATTTTATCAAGTATCTCATCTGACCATAAGGGGGAAAAGAAAACTAAACATTAACAACAAGAAAAACAATCAAAACAATTCAAATACACAGTAATTAAACAACAAGTTCCTGAATGACCAATGACTGAAGGAATAAACTAATAATAAAATCTAGAAAATTCCTGTAACAAATGAAAATGCAAACACAACATATCAAAACCTTTAGGACACAGCAAAAGCAGTATTAAGAGGCAAGTTTATACAAAGAAAAGCCTACAACTGAAAACTAGAAAACTTAGAAGGATTTCAAATAACCTAACGATGCATCTGAAGGAATCAGAAAAACAAGAACAAAACAACCCAAAATTAGTAAAAGGAGGGAACTAATGAAAAACAGGGCAGAAATAACATTTAGACTAAAATACCAATACAAAAGATAAATGAGGCTGGATGCAGTGCATCATGCCTGTAATTCCAACACTTCAGGAGGCTGAGGCAAGAGAATAGCTTGAGCTCAGGAGTTGGAGACCAGCGTGGCCAACATAGGGAGACTTTGTCTCTACAAAAAATTACAAAATAAAAAATTAGCTAGGCATGGCAACGTGTGCTTGTAGTCCCACCTACTTGTGATGCTGAGGTGAGAGGGTCACTTGACCCAACGATGTCGAGGTTGCAGTGAGCTGTGATTGTGCCACTGCACTCCAGCCTGGGCAACAAAGTGCAACTGTCTGAAAAAATAAAATGAAACAAAAAGGTTTTTTTTTTTACAAAGATAAAATCAGCAACCATTAGGTAGATTAACTGAGAAATAAAGAAAGACCTAACTAAATAAAACCAGAATGTGACAATATATACCACAAAAATACAAAGTACAAAGGATTATGAGAGGCTACTATAAACAACTGTACACCAATAAATTCAAAAATCTAGAAGAAATGAGTAACTGCCTGGACACGTACAACTTACCAACACTGAACCAAGAAAAAATAGAAAACCTGAAC